GTTTCCCCAAGAGAGACTGGGCTGTATCACCTTTGATGACCTGGTTTCAGAAATCCCACAGGATGCATTTTATTTGTTAGAAACTGGGGACCAATCTAGTCTGAGCGCAGTGTCAGGGATCGGACCCACCTCATGCCGGGAGGGGTCCAGAGTGTAGACGCGTTTGAAACCATGAAACCATCCCTTGCTCCGTATCAGCTCAGTGGCGTCTGGTGAACATGGGGCCCTAGAGCTCAGCAGAAGGGACCCTCCGCTGCAATGTCTGATGTCCGATGTCTCCGAGTCTGAGACGTGCAGGGACACAGGCCAGCACCAGGCCCACCGCCCACAGTGATGGCATGTTTCAGACAGAGTCCGTGTTCACACCCCAAGCGACCCCTGTCCCCCTCCACAGGGCCCCTGGGTTCTCCTGGTAAAACCCCCTCTGTTCTCATTTTGCAGCGAAGCTGCTAGGAGACCGACCAGCCTGCAAGTTGTGACATTACCGAGGTACAGTGTCTTCTAGGGGCACCTCCTCATCAGATACCTGCCCTCCAGCCGCGTGGGTGTGTGCAGGGAGAGGCAGCAGTGCTGGGGACAGGCTGCCTGTCCTTCTGGGCTCAGAAGGAGCGTGGCTGCTCCCTTCCCCAAAGCCAGGGTCTGACTTCGGCCTCCTACTAAAGTCATGGAAAGATCCATGCGTAGCTGGTGCGCCCGTTTTGGCCAGTTGGATGGCATTTGGCTTTAAAGAGGGTGACCCACAGCCTTGGTTTGCCAGGGCTCCAGTGGGTTCTGGATTCAGGGCCTTTTTCGGTGCCGAAACCAGGAACGTCGCAGGCAATCCCAACTGAGGCGACCACCCCAGTTTTTCTTTCTTAATTTTTAAGTGCAGTAAAATACACATGACCTGAAACTTATCATCTGAACCATTTTTAGGTGTCCTGCTCAGTGGCATTAAGCACATTCATGTTGTAAAACTAGCCCCACCGTCCATCTCCAGGACTTCTCATCTTCCCAAACTGAAACTCTGTCCCCATTAAACACACACCCCATTCACACTCCCCCAGCCCCTGGCACCCCTCTACTTCCGGTCTCTGAATCTCACCACTGGAGGGACCACATATCAGTGTACTCAGAGTGCTTGTTCTTTTGTGACAGGTGTATCTCACTGGCATATGACCATAGGGTTCATCCATGGTATAGCATCTGTCAGAATCTCCTTCCTCTTTAAGGCTGACACCCTCCATTTAAATGCCACCCCAGGAATGGAAATTGCAGTCACTACTGGCAATGACCAGTGGCCCCCCGCTCATTTTTGCGGGGATGCACAATAGTTTAGTTGGGACTGGCGGCTGCTCACACGTATTTCCCAGGCGGTTGGCCCTGACAGTGCTATAAGCCGCTGCTGGAGCGGGTCCTGTGACAGCCAAGTTAGGTAGGTGTTCCTCGCCCCGCTTGGCAGACAGGAAGCCTGCAGGCTGGGAGCCTGGAGACCTGCCCATGCCACCCAGCCAGTGACACAGCAGAGCCAGGTGGACTGTCTGCGTGTCTGATGGCCGTTCCTTTGGGCCAGCTACTTCCTGGGGCGACCTACCCATCCAGAGGCCACTTCCAGGCCCCTCCCCGGCCAGAGTGAATGAACACAGGTCCCCTGACACCCTCCCACTTCCAGTCCAGAGGAAGGCAAAGCCCCTGAGTCCTTCTAGTTCCACTGCCCACTTCTCAGACGGGGAAGCTGAGACTCACAGTCCCCGCCCTCCCCAAGCCCAAGGAGACTGTCCAGGAAGTGCCTCAGGAGCCGCGGGGCAACCTGGAAGATCCCTTGTCCTGGGAGGAGGCCGACCTCGGTCCCTTTCAGCAGCTCCACCAGCTCCCTACTGGGGACATCCACTGATCTTCCTGCAAACTCAGGCCATGCTGTGTTGTTTTTCAGGATGGTTTATCCCCAGCCCAAGGTGCTAACACCCTCGTGAGTAAACTTATTGGAATTTAACATCGTGCTCTCTCTCGCTGATCTAAAGACTGAAGGGCAGTTCCACCGAAATCTCTCCCAGAATTCCCTTTGCCCGATTCTTTCCTTTCTGGTCTTCCTGAGATCTGAACCTGGATGGAGGCCCACAGAGATTCCCCATCCTTCTCTCCCTCTGTGGCTTGCATTTCCTGTCCTTTGTCCACAAAGAAAGTGGAGAGTGTGAGGGGCTTTCCTCTCAGGGGAGGGGTCCCCTGTGCTGGCAAATCCCAGCTCCCACCTGGTGTCCTGAGGGTCCAGCATTTGGTAAAAGTTGAAGTGATTTGCATCTGGTAGGTTTCCTTCAACTGCCAAGTCCTTCTGGCAGGACGGTCAGTCCTGGGGTGTGGAGGGGATGGAGGCTGGGGTGGGGCCCCCCATGGGGGCGGTGAGCACAGGGCCTGTGTGTGTTCACCTTCCTGCCAGCCCACACGATGCCGTGTGGCTCTCTCTTGGTGCAGTAGGAAAGACGTCCTTGTCCTGACCCCTTGGCTGGCCCCCATCATCTGGGAGGGGACCTTCAACATTGACATCCTGAATGAGCAGTTCCGGCAGCAGAATGTCACCATTGGACTCACCGTGTTTGCCATCAAAAAGTAAGTGGTGAAATGACAGAGGTAGGGACCAGGAGGTACGAGTGACCAGGGACATCTTGTGTCCAGTGCTGAGTGGGGTGGGGTTCTGCCCGCCCTCCCAAGGGGTGGATGTGAAAGTGAGAGCTCAGAGTCACTGCAGGGGCTCGGCCTGACTCTCCAGATGGTCTCCCAGTGCTGGCCTGTATTGCAGCATTGGGGGGAGGGTGTGTGTCCCCTACTTACCGAAGTGCTCGCCTTCCCAGTGAGGGATTCACTAACCTGCCAGTGCAGGGCAGACACAGGCGAAGCCCCTCTGTGCTGTTCGAGAACTCAGAGCCTCTGAGGGCTCAACACACTTGCCTGATGCTGGGGGAGCTGCTGTCCCCATGATGGGGAGCTCGTGGCCCTAGGGGACCTCAGGGAAGAACCAGCCATCTGAGGCAGTTGGAAAAGACTTCCCCAGGCAGGGAGGACCTACGAGCCAGACCTAGAAGCTGACACCCCTGGACTCTAGGTCGGGGCCCAAGCAAGCCCCGTCTTCTGGTTTCCTCGGTTCCCCTTTACTCCTCACATGCTGGACCTGGTTCATGACGTGGGTAAGGGTGGAGTTCAGGGTGACCCCTCCGAGGACAACCAGCAGTTTACCGAGGACCTTGTCAGTCTGCCGCCCTGCAGCCTTCAAGGCAGGACACTTTAAGGGGTAGTGAAAGNATGTCCCTTAGTGTCTGGAAGGTACTAGAGATACATTGTCCCATGGGCAGCAAATGCAGACAAGCATTGGAAGATCAGAGAAGTGAGGGATGAATGACTTGAAGGGGGACATGGGCGGCGAGGCTCTCAGTCTGAGATTTTAGTGCAGCGGTTCTCCACCTGTGGGTCGCGACCCCTTTGGGGGTCGAACGACCCTTTCACAGGGGTCGCCGGGTACTCGTATGTGGGTGTATCTGCATGTGGGCCTGGAGACGGATAGAGGAGTGGTGTTTCGGTTCCTAAGACCATCGAAAATATGTGTTTTCCGATGGTCTTAGGCGACCCCTGTGAAAGGTTGAGAACCGCTGCTTTAGCGTATTTGAACTCTCCACCACGTGAATACATCACATTCATGAACATAAAAATCGCCATAAAGACAGACCAATAATGGCTGTTTCTATGAGCATGAGCATATGGGGGGAGGATGAAATCCTTGGGGTGAGGTGGTGGTCCCTTTGTCCAAGTGGGGCTACTCCTGTTAGGCGGGTCCAGCTCCCCTTGGTGGGAGGGTCAGCAGTGGTCCTCTGGTGTTTCAGTGGGGTCATTTCCATCTCTAATGAAAGGAGGTGCTGAGAGGGGGCGGGGGTAACTGGAGGCCTGGGTAACTGGAAGTCAGGGAATGCTGGGGAAACGTGTAGGGAGGGAAGAACCCTATGCTAGCCCTTCTCTGAGGGAGAGAGGAGAAACTGTCCTTTTTTGAAGGGGTGGGGGGAGGGAACAGTGTGTTTTTCCAGGACCCATCAGCTCCAAGTCAAGGAGTTGTTTCAACCTTGTTGTGGAGGGCGTGCGGATCGAAGCAGCAACCATGGTGTTATGAGCACTGCGCTCTAACCAACGGAGCTAACAGGCCGCCCCAGGAGAAGCTGTCTTGGATTTGGATTGGGTCTTAGAGTCGCTCCTGTTATGCTCCTGTTATGCTCCAAACATGACCTGCAAGCGGAGGGGGCTGTCCTCGCGGGACCCAGGCCAGTCGTGGGCTCTGATGTCTGACAGAGAGGGCCTGGAGCCAGGAGGAGAGTGGAGCGATCGGGTTTCCACTGCTGTTTTCCAGGAAAACCCAAACGCTGCTCACTTCATTCAGTGATCTTTCTCCTAATCGTCATGCTCGTCTTGGTCTTCTTTGGGTAAGAAACATACATGACTGTCAGGGTCTGCCAGGCTTGGGGAGAAGCAGAAGCAACAGGTCAGATCCTAATGGGGTGCCCTGAGCTGTCACCCCCGTCCCTGCCCCAGAATCACCACAATAATGACAGGACTGATGGCAGCTATCTCATGTTGCCACCGGATGACGCTGCCTTCAGTACCCTCGTATTGAGCCTCACCTTGTGAGTGACTGTCTTCCCATCACTTTGCAAATGGGGAGTTGGGTCAGGGCAAGGAAACTACACCCTCAGCTGTGTGGCTGGGAGTGGGGAAGGCCAGCTTGGGAGCCATGTTGTTAGCTGCGTCTAGATGGAGAAGGTCCTGGAACTCTACTGGGGGTTGGGGACCCCGCCAGGAATCTCTCCCTGGGCAGCTTTGGGCTGAGCCGGTCGTGCACGGGGACCCGCTACAGCTGCCACAGGGGCTTGGATGGGTGCACTGGCCTCAGTGACCCCTCTCCCACCACTGCCTTGGGACCAGTCACCTGAGATTGGGGGAGAATTGCCCCTGGTCCTGCCTGAGGCCCGGCAGCCCCACTGGGGAGCTCCCGGCCAGGGCTCCAGCTCCAGCTTTTCACGGGGATGGACAGGCTGTCCCAGGACCAGTCTCCTCAACAGTGGCCTTTGGTGGCTCTTTCACAGCACTGGTGTCCTAAACCCAAGAATCCCGATGCTGGGGACCAGGCAAGAAGGAACAGGGTGAGTGAGTTAAGAACAGGGCCACACTGCCCCTTACAGCCTTGAGGACTGGCCCTCTACCGGGAGGTGGGGGGGGGCAGTAGTGGCTTTTCGGTGGCCCCGCCACCCCTGCCTGAGCTGACACGTCGGTGAGTCTGGGCCTCCTCAGGTTCCCTCTCTCCACTCTCATAGCAGCTCGATCAATCTCATGGCCTTGAAAGGTCACCTGGGCAGGACTGACTCCTCATGTCTGGCTTCAGCCTCAACCTCCCTTCTGACCTCCCACCTCCAGCCTCCAGGGTCACCTGTGTGTCCCATGAATGACCTCGTACTGCCCACCCTGCCCCTCCTCCTGAGGACACCAGTAGCGAGTGGCTCACCTCCCACTCGGTGTCCAAGGGAGAACCTGGGCATCGCCCCTCCCCCCATACTGCTAGGTAGCAGCCTGGCATCCTACCGGGAGGTGCCTGTCCAGTTCCTGTCTCTCTGCTTCCTGCTGCTCTGGGTGGGGCTCCCCGCTTCTTCCTGGCAGCCTCCATGCTTAGCTCCCTGCCCCCTCCGCCCTGACCACATTCTCTTCCATTAGCCAGAGTTGCAGAACATGACACACGAGCCCCTCCGTGGTCGGCCTCTCTGCCTGGTCTTTCCCACTGCGGCCAACACCCCTGGGGTCCACCGCATGGTCTCGTCGTCCTGTCCATGCCATGCAGGCCTGACACTGGGCCTTTGCACGTGCTTTTCCCTCTNCCGCGTCTGAGGCCCCCCGCCCCCACCCCCGCCCCATTACACACACCCTTTTTCGCTGCACCGGGATCCGGGTGCTGACCACCTGGGGACCCACAGTGGAGTCGTGGGCAGGCTTCCCGTCCCCTAGAGAAGGTCCCGGAGCTCTGCGCCGCGCCAGCCCAGCGCTGCCCCTCTGCCATGGTCCCCGCTCACCTGGGCACCAGCTTTCCTTGGGAGAGCTCCAGGCTGGACAGAAAGGTGTATGTGAGGGGTTGCGGGGGAAGGGCGACGGAGGTGGGGGGGACGCGCAGTGGGCGGTTGACATGCTTAGCACAATGGGAACCGTGTCCCCAACGCCACACGAGACTGGAGAACAGATCACGTGGGCTGGGGGTGCAGCTGCAGGTTTGTGAGCAAGGTGGGAAAAGGGACCAAGAACTAGGGCTGACGTGCCACGGGCGGCAAACATCCCTGCTGCATTCAGAGCAGGTTGTGGTTGGAGTCGGAACTGGTCGGGTTGGGTTCCGGAGGACGTGACATAGACCAGGGGTCTCCACTCGGTTTGGGGGGGGAGAGCCAGGCAGCTGCAGCCTGGAGGTGAGAGGCGGAAGCGTGGACAGTTCGTGAGAAGAACCGCGCGTGTGCTGCGCAGCGGCCCCTCTGCTCCACAACACTCACAATATGCTGGTGCTGACGGGGAGCCAGGAGTGCGCCATGTCACTGAAGCTTCAGGAAGGCCTGGGAGGTGATAATCCACCGGGAATCTGGTTTATGGAGATGGAGGGCTTTGTCCTAGATCAGGCCCGTAGGAAGGACCAGGGGAGGCTGGCATCCAGGTCTGTCTGACTGCACAGACCTACTGTGTTTCTCCGAAAATCAGACCGGGTCTTAATTTTGGCTCCAAACTACACATTTTATTCATTTATTCATGTACAAAAATCTACATTTATTCAAATACAGTCATGTCTGGCTGACGGTCTTAACTGGGGCTTATTTTGAGGTTGGGCTTATGTTACAAGCACCCCGAAAATCATGCTAGGGCTTATTTTCCATTTAGGTCTTTTTTTGCGAGGAAACACGTACCTCTGCGCCTTACGAGCCCCTCCCTCATCCTTCATGCTCGTTTGTCCATTATTTTGTTATTGTTCCCTTTGTTCCTCTCAGATTATTTTAACAGCTTTTATACCGTAAGCCACACATGAAGTGCACAGTTTGATAAGCTCTGACCCAGGTAGACTATGGAACAGTCCCCTTAATCAGGTAACAAACACCTGGTTTCCCTTGTACCTGGGTGTCACGGCGGACCAGTGTTGCTCTTCCCTGCTCTGGGACCCTCAGAGGCCAGGGACGTGGCCGTTGGTCTCCATACCCCTGAGGGTCGGCCCGTGACTGCACTAGATGCAAACTTGAAGAAGTTCAGGTGTTCTGAGAAACCTGGAAACTAATTCCCATTCTCAGATCCCCCACGTTCATTCATCTATATTCACCCAACCAACATTGTTAAACACTTAGAAGTCGCAGGATGCTGCACAGTGAGCCACGTAAACAGGTGGCCTTGGAGACATGAATGGGGAGATGCCCTGTGTGTGACAGTCCAGGGCACAAGGGGGAGCCCCCCGAAACCAGGTGGGCCTGTTAAGGGAGAAAAGGAGGATGGGGGGGCCGCAAAAAGAGAGAGTCTGAGAGGCAGGAAGGGGACATAGAGGGCCTTGGATGTGACAGTAATGGACAAAGTTGGCAGGTGGTAAGCTGGGTGTGGGCTGACCTGGCTGCTGTGTGGGTGGCTTCTAGCAGGTGCTTGACTCCTTCATCCCCAGACCTGGCTTCCTGGAGGACTGAGAGCCACATGCAGGGGTTCTGCAAAGGGGCAGCACGCCAGCCTCGGGCCTCCTCTCGCTGTGGCGGTCTCACCCATGGAAAGAGTGGAGCAAATGTGTCTCTCAGAATTACAAGTGCAACGTCACCTGAGTCTTTACTGATCCCCACACTGAACACACCTGGTCTTTCTGTTCCTGTAGCTTTGTAGTAGGCCCAAATAGGGAAAGAAATGTCTTATCAACAGGTGAAGCATAAACAAATTTGGCATATCAACAACGCAAGGTACTCAACACAAAAAGGAACGAACTCGTAGTACATGTCACAACATGGATGAATCTTAAAACATTATGCGGCGTGAAGGAAGCCAGACGAAGGAGCGTGAATCGCACGATTGCATTTATACGAAATGCTTGAAAGGGGAAA